TCTCTCTCTCTCTCTCTCTCTCTTTATATATATATATATATATATATATTCAAATGCATCACCCTTGTAATCAATTGATAAGTATATAGCGATTCTTATAGGCAATACTAGTGTGATTTTAGGTTAATTCAAATCCTCATGGGAATGAAACTTTTCTCATCACTTTATTATTTTGCATGATAATATACTTTCATAGAACGCACCATAACTTAGTAAATCATAATCAAAAGAATAATTGTGTGTGGTTTGTATGTGTCATAATATAAAGCAGATAAAGATACAACATTTCCATATCATTGGCAACGATGTCAAAACCTTGATTATTTGAACACTTCACCCTACACTTAAGGGCTATTATGGATACTACACAAGTGCATGTGTCATGTCAAGTAATATAAGATGAGTTAAGTATCAATCCCATGAGAATTTGAATGATATCAAAAATTTCTTTATTACTACTTCAACTAATTGCTAAATTTATCTTACTATAAGAATTAAAGGGTTATGCTTATGAAAGTAAGCAACTAAAACTGATTATGAAAAATTATGTTTTGAAATACCCTAAACTACGAGCACATAGATTGATCTAACTAATTGGTACTATTAATTAGAGCGTATGTAACTCCTCATCTCTGTCGAGTTTGTCAGAATTTCTAGCAAAGATCCCCTTCATTACAATGAAACAATCACCTTAACAATTCTAAAGTTCTATCCAACATATGTCTATACATGGAAGATCTCTTTTCTAATTCTCCTAATCTATTACACTATGCCTTCATCAAGGATATATATCAAACTAAGTTTTAACTTTTTGTATGACTTGTACAAAAATAAAATGAAGATCGAAGAAACTAGATACAACATTACATAATTTAAAAGCACTGATATCTTATCTACATATGCATGCATTCTAAATATATATAAGCCCATAAATTGAATTAGCATGACATTGCAATCATCATAAACATAAAAAGCTTCATTTAAATTTAAAATTAAGTACAAAAGTGGGAAAAAAAGAAGGATAAAACTAGTATATCCCATTTTAATAGCAATGTAAGCACTTTCTTTTGCCCCTGATCCTCCACCCCTTTGTTCTCACACACACTCCATATTGGACCCATCCTAGACTAAGTACAAATGTTAAAATGACTAGCCTCTTTCAATAGTTTTGCCATATTATTTATATAAAAAAAAATAAATAACTGACTCTAGTGATGCAGTGTTTAGAGTAGTAGCATTATGGTACTCCTAAAATGAACTAAAGTTATAGTGTTGATGAGGTGCTCCACTTCGGTGCTTTGACTGAATTGATGTATTGTTTCCTAAGAATAAATGAAATAACAACTCCAATGCAGCGACCTAGACAATGTTGTAACATTGTGGTGATCTAGCACTGCAATGCTTGGACTTGCATACTGTGATACTTTGCTCTCTATTCTTGGAGTCAAATTTTGTTCTTAAATGACATGGCACTCCAAAGTCCAATGCCACGGTGCTAGTTTTTTTCTTCATTTTTCAAGTCTTTTCTTTAAATTTTCTTGCACAAAATCATAAATTGAGGAAATGTTGAAGTAAAATTGGATATCTTAAAACATAAAAACTTTTAAACTAACACTAGATATAGACTCCAAAGTCCAATGCCACGGTGCTAGTTTTTTCTTCATTTTTCAAGTCTTTTCTTTGAATTTTCTTGCACAAAATCATATATTTAGGAAATTTTGAAGTAAAAGTGGATATCTTAAAACATAAAAACTTTTAAACTAACACTAGATGAAGAACAAAAATGAATAAATAATATTTGATTTAAGTACATACATATATAGTGCGTGGACTTGGCTAAAAGGTGCACATTTGACTCTCTACCTCTTACATGGCTTGGGGATGAAGACCCTTGTGAGTACTTTGGGGGTGAGTGCCTAGGGTGAGTCTTCAACAGTGAGTGTTTGGATTGAATCTATGAAGGCTAGTACCTCGAGGTAAACGACAAGTCTTTTGGACGAATGTGTTTGTGAGCTAGGGATGAATTTAGTCAATAGAGTCACGATCATAGGCTTCATAGTGTGGTTTAGCATATGGAGCTAAAAGAGAAGGGAAGTCCAATTACAAGATTGACGGCTAGGACATATTGTTTAAAGAAAGGAGGACCTCTTACTAGAAGAAAAATGAAAATGGACATCAAGAATTAGAGTATTTTTATTATTATCTTTATTTGTTTGTATTTTTATTAAAATTATGATTAAAGTTATGTGAACCTTGGCTCTATATTATGAATATTTATGTATTATCCATTTAATTAACATAATTAATTAGCTAAGTTGAAGTGGAATGGCTGGCCTACGATTGTGAGTAATGGCTAGGTAAGTATTGCAAAGGAGGGAGGAATTGATGTGATTATATGGTGGTTACACTAGTGCCCCTATCTCAAATTCAATTTTATTCTTGTCTTAAAGACTTTTAAATAGTGGAATGAAGAAGTTAATGATCTTTGTAGCTGAAATTGGATGAAGAGTCGCTATGGTTGGAGCTTAATGGCTAGTCATGCTGGATAGGGTTCGATGATTCTCTCTAGGATATTTACTTTAATGACTTGTAGAATATTATTTATTTTTTTTATTTTCTAGAATATTCTTTTGAGTTATGTTCTATCTATCCTACCCTACTATACATAAATCAAAATCAAAATTTTCTATCAATTAAAGGAATCAAATTAAGGATTTTGTTATAATCGACCAAATTAGGTTACAACAGACCTAATTGCAACTTTGCTTTCTATTAGATAATCTAAATTCCTCTAAATTTAATAAAAAATATTGATCTGTAGTAGACATCCCTCCCTTTAATTTTCAAACATTTATTAAGGTTCTTATTCACAAGTATTAAAAAATTTAGTCTAATTCAACTTGCTACCAAAGAGGAAGATTTCAAACATAGTTTTGGAGAAACTTTGGAGAAAAAATATTAAACCTCTACCGAAATTCACAAAAATCTTCAGATAATAAGAAGACATGTTCCCATTTGAAATTTACTTTTAATTCATTTGGACTTCTGGAGTGTGAGATCTAGTGGGTAGAATCTAGGGTTCTAAATTTTGGACTAGTTGCTGAAATTGGGTTGCTAGACCACTAAATCTGTCCAAACCTTATTCCACACAAAATTGAACTCTGCTAGATATAGCCTTACTCTTCTAAGAATCTTAAGACATCCCATCATCCACAATGTTGATCTCATATGGTGATCTAACCCACCACCTTCCCACATTAAGGTGTCCGCTCCATATAGCTTAGAATAAGACATACATAGAAGGTGAATGGCCTTAGCTAAGGAAAGCTACTAAGAGGACCGAATCCCTCTAGGGTGAGTTTGTGAGACCTCGTTCCCTTACTGTTCCTCTCTGACTTGGATTTTCCTCCCAGGATCGTCCGGGACGATAGTGAGATCGTCCAGGCCGATCTGTACTGTTCAAAATATTGGCCTGAAAATAGTTCTGGGAACCGTCCAGGCCGATGATTTTGGTCTGATCGTCCCGGGACGATTTGGCGATCGGCCGGGCCGATCAGCTTTATGATTTAAGAAAAATCAGCTCGTTTTGAGGAGAGAGAAAATCATTTTTAAAATATCAGATATTTTGAAGAG